AAGGCGTATGGTCTCAACACAAAAACCAGGGAGCGCTAGAAACGGGCACAGATTGTCCATTGGAAGCGTTTCGGCTGCCCATGCCCAAGTATCTTGATAAATGGTCGGCACCCAGCTTGCACCTTCACCAAATTCTGTATAGTGCATGTGACCTTCAGATCTCGCTTTGCAAAACCAGCATACATCTTTTGCCTGCCACCCAACATTCTTGAAATTCCAGATCATTTTATGCCAAGCTAGGTCCCCTCGAAGTTCTGTGCATAGAAATGTTGCACCATCACTGCAAAGTGCTGATCCATCCGGGCGCACACCCTTGTAGGCCAAATGAAACCCCCACACAATCCGTCTGAAGATCGGGTAAAGTGTTCTAGTACCCAACATCAGGGCAGATCTCACTGAAAAGATGCAAAACCGACTGTACCTGATAGATCTCGGTCGATGAAGCACCAGGTTGAGGAATATCCCCAAAACTTTCTCCTGTGAAAACGGTCCTCCGTATTTAGTTTCATCAGCATAAAGGCCACAAGGAATCACAGATGGCCCTCCCAACCGAGACCATTGAGCACCAAACTTCTGGCCCCAGCTCCAGTAAAATTCTATGTGTGATTTTGGCGACCGTAGCTTTGCAACATCATGGACGTATGCCAACACTTCGTGCACGTCAAGCATGGGCAGCTTCATGAGTGTCACGCAGTTGTCTTCCGCTAGATCTATGCATGGTGTCTCAACATAGTGTGGCTCCTTACACCGTGATTCCCCTAACAAAGTCAAAATTGGGACCTACCTTTCAAAAGCATACAACCCAGATCCCGACCGCAATTTGAAATCAGCTTATGAAAAAATAAAATTACTGACATGGAGAAACCAAATTTCCAGCGGCAATTTGCAAAATCGCCAAAAGTCTCGCTGAAAGTTGCATTGGGCCCGAGTTGGACGCCCCAGCTTCTGTGCAATGCTAGATGGTTTCGCCCGCCTCGCGTTGTCCTGACATGTGACAGAACATGTGCTACTGCAGAAGACACATGCGCTTTGACCAGCTAGCGAGCTAATCAATTGAACAAATTACTTTACTTCGAGTTATCCCCACCATGACATCTATACATTTTGTTATTGGCAAATCTTCTGGCATTCTATCTGACATATCTTCTGGCATTTTATCTGGCATATCTTCTGGTATTCTATCTGGCATATTTTCTGGCATTCTACCTGGCATATCTTCTGGCATATCTTCTGGCACTCTATCTGGCATATCTTCTGGCATATCTTCTGGCATTCTATCTGGCATTCTATCTGGCAAATCTTCTGGCAAATGTTCTGGCAACCATTCTGGCACTTTATCTGGCATACCTTCTGGCATTCTATCTGGCATTCTATCTGTCATACCTTCTGGCATTCTATCTGGCATATCTTCTGGCATTTTATCTGGCATATCTTCTGGTATTCTATCTGGCATACCTTCTGGCATTCTACCTGGCATATCTTCTGGCATATGTTCTGGCATATCTTCTGGCACTCTATCTGGCATATCTTCTGACATTCTATCTGGCAAATCTTCTGGCGTTCTATCTGGCAAACATTCTGGCACTTTATCTGGCATATCTTCTGGCATTCTTTCTGACATTCTATCTGGCGTTCTATCTGGCATATCTTCTGGCATTCTATCTGGCCGTTGAGGTCCAGCGGTGCTCACTGAGCTCGGAGGGTCCCAGGTTGAGGTCCAGCGGTGCTCACTGAGCTCGGAGGGTCCCAGGTTGGTCCAGCGGTGCTCACTGAGCTCGGACGGTCCCAGGTTGAGGTCCAGCGGTGCTCACTGAGCTCGGAAGGTCCCAGGTTGAGCTCCAGCGGTGCCCAGTGCACTCAGAATTTTGCAGTTGAGGTCCAGCAGTGCCCACTGCGTGCGGAAGTTGGCGAAGAGCTTTGCGAAGAGTTGGCAAGGCGGAAGTGAACATGGGAGTGGAGGCAGAGGTGGTGGAGGAGAAGGAGGAGGAGGAGAAGAAGAAGAAGGAGGAGGAGAAGAACAACTCTGATAAAATCTAAGAACCCTCACCTGAGCTCGCAGTGTATTCTGTTCTGTGCATGACATGTCACCGGCTACATCATTAGTACATATTGGAAGTACCAGGTATATAATAAATATATATTAAGATTAAGAACCCTTCACAATATCCCCCTTACACCCACTCGCGTACATAATTAGTCCTTTGCGTTGGCAGTGACCGAAAGCATCACCGATCTCACACTGGCAGCCTGCCAAGATGTCAGACTGATTTTGGTTTTATCGGTACTCTTGGGTCCTGATTTGATACAGCACTGGGCAAGTTAGTCTAAACTTGGCATTCTATGCTAGTAGGTTTTGGGAACCATCAGAGGTAACCATGTTAATCTTGATAGTTTGAAGTCTCCTACATATTAAGCCGGCTGCCAGTCCCAATCCCACCTGATCGGCAACTTTCATTTGAGCATCGAGAACTGTTTGATCTTCTTGTGCTTCATCACTGCTGGCACCTGCGTGGGCAGATTTTAAGCATCCGACCCTTCCCAAAGAAAACATCCCCAAATTTGTGGTTTGTGACGATTGCTGAAAGGAAAACAATTCAGGGTTGGTACACGTCCCTATGTTTGAAGATTTTGAACATCCCTTGAAAAGGATTTCTTGGAGGTTATGTTGTGATATTGTGGAGTGGATGGAAGAAATCCTGCGCCAGATCGTGAATGTCTAATCCCATTAAGATCCGGCCTCATAGTCACCAATAGCTAACAACTGGTGCAGGATTTCTTCCATCCACAGTATCTCCAATAGTTGGGATAGTAGGGTGATATTATTTAGTTTGGATAATTATTTGCCCATGCAATTCCAAGACGGTGATGGGTCCAACATAATATAAATAGTAAGACCCCAAACCAACAGCTAGCCGATTGATCCAGGGGAAACTTTGTCACCACCAAAAAATTACCGTGAGATAGTCAGTGGGTCCCAATCTCCGCACTTCCTCGCCGGCCCATGGGGTTGGATCCAGGGATTGTGCAATTATTAGCATAAGAGTAAGATAACATCGGGATACTATGTAATTTAAATGGAACCGTAAAAGCCGTATCAAGATATATCAGGGAAGCCTATAACGTAACAATATAAACCATCCCCCAAAAGGCATAAACCATCAAACTACGATATATTTTGTTAATTTACTCACATTGACACGACATGCATTGGCAGTCAATCCACCATGGCTGCCCGGGCCCCAAGCAGATTGCCAAACGGACCCTAAGCTGAGTTCTTCCACATCGGTCGAGCGGGGAGGTGGTCTGGCAAGGCTAAGCCAAACACGGTTGAAAGCACCTAGGGGATCTTTGTTATCCCAGCATCTTTGGACCCTGGCTGGACATGTGACCATTCTACAACACAGATTCTTTCATTGAGAAATGGATACTGTTAAAAATTTGATCTGGCCAGTGGCCCTGGCCACACCAGGGGACCAAGGGTGCACCCAACAAGCCCTGGTGAGTTTCTACATGTAGGCATCCCTGCAGTCAACACCAACGTACCATTGATATCATCGGGCGTTTGTACGCCCACCCTGCCGTTCAAAAGATCCCGGGACATCCATTTTCTTTGTCATCAAAGATCCAACCAAATCAATCTATAACAGAATAAACAGGTTACCAAGATTGTGTCATTTGAAGATGTTAAGTGCATATTTTTTCATCAGGCCCAGGAATAAAATGTCAAAAATTGCCCAAATAGCTCCGACCCACATGGCTTTCACAAATGGGTCGATCAGGATGTTTTGGCATTCTTCGCAAGCTTACCTTTGCAAGGTTTGATAGCCACCTCAAACTTTTCGATTTTCCCATTCAACTCCGTTGTTAAGAATTCGATTTGCGCGGTCTCCTCCGTGGCGGGGTTGGGGAAAGCCGTTGAATTTGGTGTGCTAGTGATTTGTGGGGTTTACAAATTCCCGCTAGTGGGTTTCAATTTTGAAGACTCCCAATCACAATCAATCAGATATGTTATTGAACTGTTATCGCCATGTAATCCCCAATCAGATAGGGCCAATTAAATATCATTTAGGGGTTTCAAATTCCCTTCTTGGTGGGTTCTAACTTATTGATTGAGTTTTCAAAATATATACCAGATTGTTATGGCCATGTGCCCCCCAATTTGATCGCCCCAAGTTTGACAATTATGACCACATGGTGTTGCTACCCCATATCATATCAGGGAAAATCCCGCTTGTTTTCGGAATTCCAAAAAAGAGGTCATGTGCCCCCAAATCGATCATACATAGCTTTAATAAGTAAAATGGTTGTGTTTGTGCCCAATATGATTGCCCAATCAGTTGATTGATTCCGACATGGCAAAATCATATCATACCACCCCATTGAACCCGAAGCCTGGTCAGCATCGAGGGCCTTTTGCAGACACTCTCTGCCCACCTGCAGCAAATTGACTGAGGATTTGATGTCGCTTCGAACAGCTTCCTTGAGATTGTCCGACCTTGATGTGGCAGTTGGCAGGACAGTTGAGAGCGATCGGGGCGATGATTTATTAATGCTATACAAATTATATTGGATATATCGTATCGGTATCTAATCTACAAATAAAAATGAGTGATCAGTGACCTTTACATACGAGGTTGATTCTGGAGATACCTCCTAGCTCAGGCATTGGCAAGTCTTCAGCTTTCTCTAGGAAAGCCTTTGCATCTTTGATTTTTTCCCCGCAGTGTCAATTGCCTGACAATGAGTCAGGTGAGATCAGTGACCAAATGCCACATGGTTGGGATATATCATGGTTTCAATCTTATCCCAATGTAGTTTTGGGGAAAACAATCCGATATCCCATCTATTCCAAAATCAAGCAACCTTTATGGCGAGGACACGAACCAATTATATAAACATAATCACTTCTCCCAAGTGGCCTCTACCATAAACAACCCCCGAGTTTATTTCGCTCATGACTGTGTGACTTGAACAAATATCAGCTGAAAAAACCTCCTGTTCTAATAGTCCTTTGGGGTCATTTGGAGTGTGGTGACAGCCACTGTCGCGAAAGGACCCCAACAGTGCAGAATGGCTTCAAGATGTTTCAAGTTTGCTTGGTGGCCCAGAGATCTAGAACATTTCCGGGCGCGCACACACACAAAACCCTTAAAGGGCACCTTCTTGGCCTTTTTCAAGGCGTCCTTTCTCAACTCAGCTCCATCATCAGACTGTTCTTGCTCCTCTTTTGTGTCTTCCTCTTTCTTATCTTTCTTCGTCTTTCTTTTCTTTTCCGCCTTCTCCTTGCGCTTCTTCTGTTCCTGCTTGGATTTTCCCTTCTTCTGTTCATCCTTTCCCTTTCCGCTCTTTCCCTTCTTCTTGCTGTCCTGCATGGATGGAAGTAAGGCAACATGTCCATATATACATCATTAGAGTGCAGATGCATGCTTCATAAATATCAGTATGAACTGAGTATGTGTTCGTGTGCATGTGGATGCATGTACAGAGGGATCATCAGCATTTACTGGCCTTCTGTGTGTTCTTTTTGGACTTCGGGGGGTTCTTCTTCGGCTTGGGATCAGAGCTGTCACTGCTGCTGTCCCGAGATTGTCCTGAGCTTAATTCCTCTGAGTCTGAGCTGTCACTGGTGGCCTCTGCGGCTTGGTAGAGGCGGCTGACGCAAGTCTCCGAACTGTCAACTTCCTTATCCATGTTGAGAATCAAGAACTGCATCAAAGCCTCGCACTCGGGAGCGTCCGGATGCATCCTCATTTCGTTTCTTCTCAATTCTTCTTCACCAAGTTTTCTGCGGATGATGGCCTCTGCGCCATCAACGCCATATTTGGCTTCGATCTCCTGCCGAGTCAACCACTCTCGGACTCCCAGTTTCTTGTTCTTCTCTTTGCTAGTTACTTGAAGGAAGATCTTGGCGTTCCTCCAGTTCTCGCTGGCATCCAACCAATCCTCGTACAGCATGGACATCAAATCCTTTCCTTGGCTGTTGGGGTGAGGACGGATTGAAAGGCAAGTTGGGGAATGATGATGATCAGTGATGTGGGCAATTTTAAATGGACACCCGAGCTGCATAGAAAAAATATATTAGGGTTACACGATCTTGTGTTTCATAATTTCTGGTAACCGAATTCAAATCCAATAATTGATTTGAGTCTCGGCCTTTGGCTTCCTTTCCCATGCGTTGCACTTCACCCGGGCTGTTCTTGCCTCATATATGGTTGTGTGTTTGCTTGGTTCTCTGACTTTGAATATATACACGCTTGGTGAAAGTAATTTGATTGATGCAGAAACCAAATCTACTGATATGTTGTGAGTGTCTTGGCAGGAGTACTTTCCGTTTTGATTGAGATCATGACTGGACAAAGACCTGTAGAATCTCATGTGGGCTGCATGTGCTTTCTTTTTCTTCCGTTCCATTTCTTTGCGTTTCCTTTCCTTCTCGGCTTCAATATCATCATTTGGCCGATTTGGCTCCCTCCCCCTCCTGTCATCTCCTTCGTCGTCAGAGTCAGGAACCTTGGGAACCTTCGCAGGTTGTTCTGCAACAACTAGATTTGCTTCCTCGGCTTTGCGCTTCTGCTCTGTTACTGTTACTTCTACTGCCTTTGCTTCAGCCACTTTCTCTGCTGCTGTGGCTGAAATCGAAGGTGGGGCTGCTACTGTCTCTGCTGGCTTTGGCGCAGTGGACTTCTCGGCCTCTAGCTCCGGTGCTGTGGGCTTCTGAGTTGCTGCTTCTGGCTCAGGTACTGTGGGCTTCTCAGTTCCTGCAGCCTTGCTTTCTGATGTTACTTGTGGCTCCGGTGCTGTGGACTTCTCAGTTGCTGCAGCTTTGCTTTCTGCTGTTGCTTCTGGCTCGGGTGCTGTGGGCTTCTCAGTTGCTGCAGCTACCCTTTCTGCTCTTGCTTCTGGCTCGGGTGCTGTGGGCTTCTCAGTTGCTGCAGCCTTGCTTTCTGCTGTTGCTTCTGTCTCAGGTGCTGTGGGCTTCGCAGTTGCTGCAGCCTTGCTTTCTGCTGTTGCTTCTGACTCGGGTGCTGTGGGCTTCTCAGTTGCTGCAGCCTTGCTTTCTGCTGTTTCTTCTGGCTTGGGTGCCGTGGGCTTCTCGATTGCTGCAGCTTTGCTTTCTGCTGTTGCTTGTGGCTCGGGTGCTGTGGGCTTATCAGTTGCTGCAGCCTTGCTTTCTGCTGTTTCTTCTGGCTCGGGTGCTGTGGGCTTCTCGATTGCTGCAGCTTTGCTTTCTGCTGTTGCTTGTGGCTCCGGTGCTGTGGGCTTCACAGTTGCTGCAGCCTTGCTTTCTGCTGTTGCTTCTGGCTCGGGTGCTGTGGACTGTTGCCTCTTGCCTTGAAGTGCTTCAGCTGGTGCTGATGGCGGTGCTGCTTGCGGGGACATGGTCTCTCCTCGATCTTTTTGGGTGTTTTCACTGAAGTGGTCAAGCAATTTCTGTTTCTCTGGGCCTTCTGCAAGTGCTGCCAAAGCGGTCATGAGTGTAGATTTGGAAGCTGCATCAAGCTGCTCCAGGGTGGTAGATCTCCCAAGGATACTTTGTTCTATGTCACTGGTACCCAAGGAAGTGACGGATGGGCACCGATGGACATTTTCACTTGGTGTACTCACACTACCCTCATCCCAATTTGGTTGCCAAGACGCCCAGGATGGCCAACCCCACTTGTAGTAGTCCCACTGTGAGTCTCACTGATGATACCAGCTGTGGCTCTTCCAATCACCCGACACATTTGTGTCTGGTGAATAGTACTCTTCAACACGTTGTGGGGCAACATCACTTCGGACCGGGGTTGCCAACGGCAACCGTGACTTCTCCTCAGACTCCTTGTCCAAGACTAGCCGTGCCTCCTCCAAGGCCTTTTCAAACGAACTGGGCGTGGCTGGAATGGTTTCCAAAGAGTCTTGTCCTGACTGCGGATCAAGCTTGGGCCGTGTGATTGGGCCATTGTCAACAATCCCGGGAAATTATCCACTTAAAATTGTTGGATAATGGATTGGTCTAGAATGAGGGCCCCCAAGATAGCTAACTTGGTTTATATATGGTTATAATAAATAATATCCATGGGGTTACAATCCAATTAAAAACTAGGGGCCCCATATTGTACCCATGTCTACCCGATACTTTCACAAAAGAAAGGGTGCTATGGCCTGTATATCCATCATCCACCCTTTCATGTGAAATGTCCCCAAACAAACCCAGCAGACATAGTTGAATTCCTGGGAAAGATAACAATTGAGAGGGAATATCCATCCACACATTTAATGTGAACATGTCCCCAAACCAACCCAGCAAACACGGCTGAATTCTTCAAAAATATTTTTTAGGGGGCTGCTCATAGTTTTTCTTTGGGATGAAAATTTGTCCACTTGTTTTCAAGATTTCCCTGCCTAGGGGATGTGGTGAAATTCCCAAAAACGATCTTCATGTTTTCTACACTGTATGGGGTCTCCTCGGTACTCCAAAGATGCTGATGGCGACAGGCTATCCACCTGGGTCTGTGGAGTCTTTGAATCCACCTTCTCAATCTGGTCTTCCTTTTGTGACCTCATGTGGGTGTGAAACTGAAAACACCACAAAACTTTGAGCCGGGAAACCCATTTGTTCGAATGATCATTTTCCCGTTGCCAACGTTCAAATGCATTTCAGAAACTCTTGGTAAATTGACACGATTCTCCTCCATACGTATGAACAAATTATAAATTGCTGACGACTGGGGTAGATCGAAGCTTCCCTTATTTCCCCCAAAGACATAGTTCAACCCAGATCTGCATATCATTTGGAAAAAATGTGATCCTTTTGGCATTTTTTGCTGGACCCTATGGCCTGCTTAAAGTTGCTAACCAATTTTATCAGAATATTAAGATATATTTACAGGGGATGGCGTCCACATGCGTCCACTGCCCGCTCAGGCTTTGGCTCTTGGGCCAGAACTGCAGCTTTGCGTTGTGCTGCAGCTTGAAGTGCCGCTTTGGCTCGATCAGACATGACTCTGGTGTCCCTGGTCCACCAGATTGCCAAGGGGTAAGTGCTTCGAGCCCTGGACTGCCCATGAAATCCAGGAATTTCCAATAGTCATGATCTTTGGTTGTGCAAATATTATTGGAATCCCAAAGAACCATTGAAGTGAGGAGCAATTTGATCGTATTTTCTTGTGTTGCACATCCAAATCAGCAACATATGTCTTTTGGCGTGGTCCGCCGCCAAAAAAAACCTATCATGATCAAACTTTCACAGGCGTTTCACGCCCTGGTGTGTGTTTTCACGTTTTTTTCGCAATGGCCCTCCAAGTGTCTTACAGTAAGTAATGGGAAATGGCCAGGAACATAAATCAATCTAACTTTGAGTCCGGGGTACATATAGGAACCTGATTGAAAATCACCAGAAAAGAAACGCCCAACTTTCACGGTGCGTTCACGCTCTCAGACGGCTTTTCACGCTCTCAGACGGCTTTTTCACGCTAATTCACGCTAGTCATCCTGATGGCTAAATTTCGTAAAATTGGGAAAATGGTCAGGAAATATACCAATAATAGATTCACCACCAGGTTTCCCCTACAAGTCATAATATTTTTACGAAAATCAAATCTAATCCTGTGGCCAAATATAATGTATGAATTATCGTGAATAGCCGTCCCAGAGAATGAAAAACCATTCGCCAAACCTTTTTCATCGATCATCAATGTTACTTTGTGTGCACAGGTCAGATGTGCTACCCCAAAAGTGCCGATGCACAACAGCTGTTGGGTCATTGGTGTTGGTCAACCCCTCTAGTGGTTTCATCCAGACAAAATTTTTACCGATTCTGGGGAATTCAGGCACAGGGATTGCAGGCACAAGTATAGTCATGTTGGGAAAAACCAACAAATTTAATTGTGCATGTAGCTGCAGCCGGCTATGGGAACTTTCGAATTGGTTTATAAGCCCCATTCTTCTTATGCAGTCTCAGCGTGTCCATCAGCTCGTCAAGGCGGCCGCGCTGCCACAGTGTTTTCCTCATCTTGCTGATGACCTGCATGCTGGTTGGAGGAATGGATATGCTAGGGATGCTGAACAGGAGTGGAAGCCCATTTAAAACAAGGTACGGGAAATCCATTTCAATCTTTTGGACTTTGGCTATGGTATAAGCGCAAGTTATTGAAATCCAAGTAACCTAGCCAGCAATCTAAATCACAGGAAGATTTGATTTGTTGCTCACTGGAGATTCACATGCCTTCTGCACTTTGGTTTTGTATGCTGGAAGCAGCGCACGGTTCACGGAAGCTTTATGCTCTAAGCCACGTCTGGCCTGCAAGGGCAAATTTGGCGCAGCTTACTGATTTTGATCTGCAATATTTTTTGCCTAAGCAACAATGCCCATCAAATCTGCCTGTCGGGGAGATCCTACTCCAAAGTTTCTCACCATTCAGATTTAAATGATCCCAGGTCCGGGTAAATTTGTTCTTTATACCATATGATTGAACAGCCCCAACAAGAACAATGAAGGCCTTCACCTTGGAGATTAAATCATAGAGCTTCGAAGCAAATCCAGAGGGATAAATTTGCGTCTTGCGAAGGGCGGGGCCACCTGACCTGGGCCAAATTTAGGAGGGAATTTGGGATTCCAAAACCAAAAACAAATCGGTCCGTTTAACCCTGAGCGTAGGACACAGTTTTCTTTCCACAAGGAAGTACCTTGACAATTGCAATCCCCTTAGAGGATAGCTTTGCCCTCTCAAACTGGGTCAGCTTCGTCTTGAGCTCGTCAATGTATGGCCTCATCAACAAGGATGACGAAAATGGTTTAGGAATATATTTCAAGATTGTTTCGGTCACCATATGGGGATGTCTCAAACTGAGGTGTCCTTTTTCTTTGTGAAGTGACCATTTTGGGACCCAAAAAAGGACACCTCATTTTCATATCCATATTTCAGTGTTCAGGCACAAATTGTTTAAAAGGTTCAGATCTACATTTCATTTGCTCTTAAACGTTTGCACTTGGCTTTGAGGAGCTGGCATCGACGAAATCCCCATCGACAACTTCGGGGAAGGTGCGCCCCACGATCCCATCCAACTCGGCGGGTGGAATGCCGGCTGGAATCAATAGACTAAATTCAAAATCGAAGTGTGTGGTCACCCTGTCTTTAAATACCATAGGCGATACAAGAAAATTCTTGATCCAAATGGACCAAGTGCGAAGTGCCACCAACACAGAAGATTAACAAGACTCGGGTTTAGGGTTGGGGAGTCTTCTTTCCAATACTAATGCGTTCCATGTCATTGGCACTACTGGTTCTGAATAAACGTCTCATGGTGTAGTAATTAAGTTAGAACAATGTTCCAATTTAGAATGAATGAATATAGTCTGAGACCCTGACAACCGTTGGAAGTAGGTTTTCATTCCACTCGCCCATATCAGCTTCTGCAAATGCTTTAGCTCCGGGAAGTGGATCACTTTGCTGGATCCAGGTTGTTCCACAAACCAATATACAGCCCTCACAGACATGATCATGATAACGATCACAGTGCGAACTGTTAGCCTTAGCCCAAGCTTGCAAGCAGAGGCAACCCCGAGGGACATTCTCCATCGGAAATACTGTGGGGATAGGATAAGACAATCAAATTAATATATATAATGTGGGTAATCTGGGACACATTGATGATAAACCACTTTACTTCGAATTATCCCCATCATTTTGTTACTGGCAAATCCTTTGGCATTCTATCTGACATATCTTCTGGCATTTTATCTGGCATATCTTCTGGCATTCTATCTGGCATATCTTCTGGCATTCTACCTGGCATATCTTCTGCAATATGCTCTGGCATATCTTCTGGCATATCTTCTGGCACTCTATCTGGCATATCTTCTGGCATATCTTCTGACATTCTATCTGGCATTCTATCTGGCAAATCTTCTGGCAAACATTCTGGCACTTTATCTGGCATACCTTCTGGCATTCTATCTGACATTCTATCTGGCATACCTTCTGGCATTCTATCTGGCATATCTTCTGGCATTCTATCTGGCAAGCATTCTGGCACTTTATCTGGCATATCTTCCGGCATTCTTTCTGACATTCTATCTGGCGTTCTATCTGGCATATCTTCTGGCAGTCTATCTGGCCGTTGAGGGCCAGCGGTGCTCACTGAGCTCGGAGGGTCCCAGGTTGAGGTCCAGCGGTGCTCACTGAGCTCGGAAGGTCCCAGGTTGAGGTCCAGCGGTGCCCAGTGCGCTCAGACCCTTGCAGTTGAGGTCCAGCAGTGCCCATGCGTGCGGAAGTTGGCGAAGAGCTTGGCAAAGAGTTGGCAAGGCGGAAGTGAACATGGAAGTGGAGGCAGAGGTGGTGGAGGAGAAGGAGGAGGAGAAGAACAACTCTGATAAAATCTAACAACCCTCACCTGGTAGGTGGGGAATAAACCCCGGATATAATATCTTGTATATAACCCCGGTTTATCCTGAGATAAACCCAAATAACCCCGGAGGGAAACAATCGAGATAAACCTTGGATATTGCCCCGGTAATCTGGCTATTATATAATAAGGTCTGAGATAGATTTGGAGTAGTACCGGAGATGTTTGAATATTAGTCTAGATCGGCAGTTGATTCACCTGGTGCTATCGCCTACGTGATTGTTGTGCCCGTGCATCCTGGGCCACGAAGCTGCTTACTAGACAATCTATGAAATTGGTCCCGGCTTTGGACCCACATAACTAGAGGGACACCCTCGTGGTGTGCGATCAGTTCGAGACCGGCTACGACAATCCTGAAGTCACATTGCTGGGAATGAATCGGAGGATTAGCTCCAAAGAGAAGCAGGTTCAAGTCTACAGCCGTGCAACCTCTACAAGCAGCTTATGACCTAGCGATGCTAGCCTGTTACTCTGACCTGAGCAACTTTGGGATTCTTCGGAAGGGTTGGGTCTCATAGTCCCCAAAATATTACAATATATTTGGCCCCAAAAACTTTTATTGGATCAATATCCATCCGCAACCCCTTCCCTGCTACTTTTCCTCTTGGGTTGGCCCACAAAAATGGACCCTGCTCCCAAACCCTTGCTAAAGTCTTGGGGAGAAATACTACATTTGGTTGACTTGGTGGGGTCCATTTTTTGTGGGCCAACCTGAGTGGAAACTTGCCACCAACCAACCCCCAAACGATCATCAAGTTTCACATTGGCCAGCTTGACATATTCACGAGTTGATTCATTGCCGTAGGGCTTGTCACTGGTTCTCCCATGAGTGAAGCTGTTCATGAATATGTATGTAATGCACGGCAACCCAATGACGCCCAGCGCATCAGGGGCCATTTGCAGCACCATCAATAGCAAGGTCAGGAATCCAGACCTGGTCGAATGCGGGTAATGGTTTTCAGTTTTGTTTCCAAAGATTGCTCAATAAAATTTCAAATGAAGGTTCGTGTGGGAAATCAAAGTTCAAACTCACTTCATAGCGACACAATGTATGTTCCAACCATATTACATTGAGACCCGGGCGACAAGAGAATATCATTGTGCTCACCCTGTTTGATGTCAAAGAATAGCCTTAGCAGTATAATTATAATACCGAACTGCCACACATATACGCAGACTTGGCAAACAGCCCGCGCGCCAAGGGCAAAAAGCCAAAAGCAAAAGAATTTGGAGTCGGACGCCTTTTTCCCGCGCTTGCCTCAACCAGCTTTTGGCGGGCCGAGGAGAGAACAATATAGCATGCCGTGTTGACTCACTAGCGTCTACCACTAAATTAATCTGAATGAATTGTGATTTTCATTCTCAATCAGGGCCCCACTCCAATGGCCAGAGATCGCCTTCTCTCCGCAGAACATGTCCAGAACTTCGACATCCTGGGGGTAGTTTATGTTGGTGAAGTGGCAATGCCAAGAAAATGTATTAAATTAAATAATATATATATATTATACACTGTCAAGATCTTTTTTATGGATATCAATTTATGTATGATAGAGATCTGGTGTTTGGGCCCCGGACTCGGCTGGATTCTTCGGGCCCAGCATTCTGGGCAACAAAGTCAAGGGCATGGAGCCTCAAATCAACCCATTGAAAGAAAACTAAAATATGTCGCAACAAGGATATTCTATCCCTAGACCCTGCAAGTGCCCTTGAAATACACCATCTTGTATATTCCATTTTCATGGGTATTTGGAAAATAATTAATTCCATAAAAATCCACCCGAGCTATAAAATTCAAAGTACTTGGTATCTCTGATCTTTCGAACCATATTCATCGATGTATTACCTTGCTGAGACATGCTAAGATTGAGATCTGAAGATTAACTGGGATCCTGGCACTTCCCTCGGGCATCCCCAGGATTGCAGAAGAGACGCCTCCTTTCGCGTCAAGGACACGCCTTTGAGTGTCCAACTGGGAGCTGGCGCCGGCATTTTGCAAGTGGGTGACTAGCTACAACACTGTTAGATTCACCCCAGCCACAATTGCTGCATTTATCCACACACGGTTGACAAAAAATGATAAATGTTCCTGGAGGTGTTTGGCTGATACCAGATCATATCTTGCAATGGTTTTTGCAAATGAACAATCAAGAGCATTCAAGTGCATTTTTTCCCAGGCATGTGTGCGTATCACACATGGAAGTGGCTGGCTTTGGGGGCCTTTTTTTGGCGACCCCGTGTCCCAGCATCCCCTGCCATTTCGCGTGCATGCAATCATGAGTCGAAAAAATACTTCTATAGCACATGTATGCACGATGGGCCATGGGTCATACATTTAGAGCCTACTTTCCACAGGTTCATGCATGCATGCACGCATCTCAAGAAACAGTATTGAAATCGACACATCGATTATCGATTGATGATCTTTGCTGCGGCTGGTATTGACTCAGCTGTGAACATGATCAATCAAACTTGTCCCATCCTGCCAGAATACGTGCCCATTTCCAAGCACAGGTCAGCCCGAACTTAGACCAGGACAGTGTCACCCCACCATTTCCATCGACCTGAAGCAGCGTGATATAGGCATTTATTTAACTTCATTCAGTGAGAATAATCAATTGAAAATCGGAAGCTATGATATTTGCAAAATTTGGAAGTAGCTGGGGGCCCGGCTTTGAAAGTGGTGTTGTAAGTTTATACAGAGTATGGGGGATCAGGCCCGCTAAGGTTTGCGAAGCCTCAAAGCTGCAAAGCCTCTTTGGCGCTTCACGCCTCAAAGCTTCAAAGCCTCAAAGCTGCAAAGCCTCTTTGGCGCCTCACGCCTCAAAGCCTCAAAGCTCCAAAGCCTCTCTGGCGCCTCACGCCTTAAAGCCTCAAAGCCTCAAAGCTGCAAAGCCTCTTTGGCGCCTCACGCTTCAAAGCCTCAAAGCCTCAAAGCCTGAACGCTTGGATGCTTTGGCGCTTTGGCGCTTTGGCGCTTTGGCGCTTGGCGGCTCTTTCAGGCTTTGGCGCTTCTTGGCGCTTTTCCGACGCCTCAAAGCCTCAAAGCCTGAACGCTTGGATGCTGTGGCGCTTTGGCGCTTTGGCGCTTGGCGGCTCTTGCACGCTTTGGCGCTTCTTGACGCTTTTCCGACGCCTCAAAGCCTCAAAGCCTCAAAGCCTGAACGCTTGGATGCTTTGGCGCTTTGGCGCGTGTCCTACGCCTCAAAGCCTCAAAGCCTCAAAGCCTGAACGCTTGGATGCTTTGGCGCTTTGGCGCTTTGGCGCTTTGGCGCTTGGCGCTCTTGATGCTTTGGTGCCTCTTGGCCCTTTGGCGGCGGCTCTTTGACGCTTTGGCGCTTTGGCGCTTGGCGCTCTTGATGCTTTGGTGCCTCTTGGCCCTTTGGCGCTTTGCGGCTCTTTGACGCTTTGGCGCTTCTTGGCGCTTTGAGACTTCGCGGCTCTGTGACGCTTTGGCACTTTGCGGCTCTTTGAGACATGCCATCTTGGAAAAAAAGTGGTTTTGTAGATTATACATTTTTAAGCACCGATTGAAACATAGGTATAAAAGCTGTTTCGGAGAAAAAACAAAGGGCCAGATTGTTTGTATTTGAGGGCCAGCGCTCACCTGCAGCCAGCGAACTTACGACTACCTGTTTAGTAATTTTTGTGGGTTGTTTAATGATGGTTTACCTTAGTAGGTGAGTAACAAGCGTGGTTTGTAAGTCGCCGTTTCGCGGGTCATAACATCTTTGAGTGTGTTATAACTTAAAACTCTGGTTTTTGAACAGTTCCTCATTGATGAAAAGGGTATGTCCTAACTGGTGGAGGTTTGAATTCCATCGTCATACCCATATCAAATCTTATAAACCAGGCCCTGCGGAGTTTTGAAGCCGACCATCAATAGATTGGTTGAAGGAAAAATCTCCATCTTGACCAGAGTCTTAATCTTGTTTTTGCTGTTGCGGTTTTTGTTTTTGTAAGGCAAGGGCGAGAACTTGCAGCGTATCATCCAACATGTCTGAAGGTTGGGGACAAGACCTGACAGCGTAGCACCCAAGATGATTGATAGTTAAGGACAGGTCTTACAGCGTGTTATCCAAGATGGTTGAAAGTTAGAGTGGATGTGCAACACGGCTCGGGAAATCGAAGCAGCCACTCAGCCACTCTGCCAGAGAGGCTGGCCCAGCCACTCAGCCACTCAGCCACTCTGGCAGAGCGGCTGACGCAGCCACTCCAGCTCTCTGGCTGGCTGAGAGTGGCTGGTCTAGCCACTCTGGCAGAGTGGCTGAGTGGCTGAGCTGGTCTAGTCTGGAGTGAGCGGCTGAGTGGCTGTCCAGTGGCCAGCCTAGCCACTCTGGCAGAGTGGCTGAGTGGCTGCAGTGGCTGCCACTCAGCCACTCAGCCACTCAGCCACTCTGGCAGAGCGGCTGACGCAGCCACTCAGCCACTCAGCCACTCTGAGCGGCTGAGTGGCTGAGTGGCTGGAGAGCCATTGGAGTGTAAGCAATATTACCCGACCTAATTTTTCTTAGGTCTGGGTAGTATCTCAAGTGAGGTTTTATGCTAATTTAGGGCCCCTTCCTTTATTCATCCAGGCACTGGGGCATATATTCTTATGGGTTGAATGGAATCTTAGGCAAACAGGCAAACATCTGTGTTAAAGGGTTGTGAGAAAGAAGTCATTAATCATTTGTGTTAAAGGGGTTCGCTCTGTGGGTCCCTGCGGATCATCATGGCGAAAGGAATGAGACATTTGGTTATAGTTCCAATGTTTTCATATATGTATGTTATAAAAGAAATTATATATATATGTGTGTAGATATAGCTAGACACAAACACACCTAAGGTCATATCATCCACCTCCATCATTTCATCATTTACCACAGTTCATTTTCACAACAGTTCATATCATTTCATCACAGTATCAACACAAAATAAGACCACATAATTTCATACATCATCATCCCACATCATTTCATCATCATCCATCATCACATAAATTCATATCATAAAGTTTCATCATAATATTTTATCATAATATATTATTATAAAATAATATCATAAATCTAAATAAATTTTCATATATTATGATATGAAAAAAATATGGGGTTAAAGTCTTTAAAAGTTTTTTGGTGTAATGGTTTTCCAGATTTGTTTCAATTTTGCAATTCTGGCTTCATCATCTTTTAAGTATTCCTCCATATATGTTTGTTTTTTCTCTTCTTCCTTTTTGAGTTTTTCCTTGCTGGAATGCCTGTCGGTTTTGACATGTTTGGACAACCTGCATTGTTTCACATTCCGTTGGCAAATGTCGCAGAATACTTCCTTTTGATTATATACTTTGTTACTCTCCTTTTGTTTGTCCAAGCATTCAATACACATTCTATTCATTCCATTGAACTCGTCACCATTTTTGTTTTTCTTACACTTTGTGCACTTTCTACTCTCCATACTATTATAAGGTATTATCCTTTCAATTTTAAGTGTATTTCCTTATGCCATTAAAAAAAAAAACATATTATCTCATATGAAAACTTATGGGATTCAAATATAAATTCCTTGTTGTATTCTTTCATACACTTTGTCAAACTTATTCTCGTCAATAATTGTATTTCCAATAAACTGTTCATTGTCTTTGATATGCGACAATATTTTTCTTAAGCAATCTATAAAGGTTTCATGATTAAAGTTATCATCCATACAATCAGCATCATTAATATTCATTTCTAACATGCAGAATGCAACCGTAGAATATGAATTGTTACAACATTTTTCAATCCTTGTCCACAATCTTGATAATGTCTTATCTCTTTTTCATTTAATACTAAATTCATTTTATCATCTGGAATTTCATTCACTAAAGTATTATAAACGTAAATTTGAATTTGTTCATCAATATCATCATCGTCACAAGGGTTAATATCAATTTCAATTGAATCAAAATGACTCATTATATTTGAGCAACTTTTACAGGCTACATATTCACAAATTTTATTACCAATACCATCGGTAAAATTATTTTTTATAATTCATTTTATTGTTGCATATTCACTACATTTACAGCTTAAGATTTTTTGTTTGATGTATTCTTCTTGGTTGATTTCACGTTCACTACTTGTATCACTGAATGACATTTCGCTAATATATATATATATATATAGATAATATATATATATATATAATATTCCTTTAAGTAGATTTCCTATAAATGGTAATTTATATGTTCAGCAATTCATGCCTCAATAGTGGTCTATTGTATCCTTCTAATGTATAATATGTTTGATTCAATTTTTCATCAATGGACTCTACGGTATACTCACCTTTCAAAAAGTGTGAGGTTCTCTCCTTCTCCGTTGTTGCTTTCTTCCTTTTGATTTTTACTTTGTCTCCCACAAATAGTTCAGGATAGAGCCTCTGTTTCTTTGCTTTCATTGCAATGTTTAATCTTGACTTGAATTCATTGTCTGTATCTCTGGCTTTATACGGTGTTTGACCAGTAGCGGAATGCACATCTTTATTATTGTAAGTTAACACAATTTCATCTATGTAGTCTATCCATTGTATATTCGTTTTTTTATTTTTTTCATCGTTCTCAACTCTTTTGCATAATTTGTCTTTAAAAGTTGTTTGTAAAACGCTCGGCAAAAGCAGGATGGCCTCTTGTCCTCTACAATTCGGCCTTCGCTTTCTACATATGCTTGGAATTCACCACTTGCTATAGCTTTCTCGTCGTCGGTGTATATGATTTCAGGTTTCTTTGTCATCTTCTCTATCGCTTTCTTTGTTCCTTGAATAACACTGCCTGTCTCTTTCCTTCTTACTGGGACTACGACAGCATACTTACTCAAACAATCAATACAGACTAATCCAACTCTGTATCTTTGTTTTACCTTTAATTTTTTTTGGAAATAAAGAATATATCAACTTGGCATCTATGATTGTTATGTGGAACAACAAAGCTGTTATAGCCTCTCGGGTTCATTTTTATCTCTACACTCTGTTCGAAAAAA